AAATTATTTTCTTTTCATTTCAATAATAAATATTTTGTGAAAATAAAACAAATTTTATTTTCACTTATAAATTATTTTATTTTATCAATAAATATTTTCAAAAACATACAAATTTTCATTTAAATAATACAAAATTTTTCTTTTTCATTTCTGGAATAAAATTTGTAGAAAAAACACAAATTTTATTTTTGTTTAAATAATTCAAATTTTCGTTTTCATTTAAATAGTTCAAATTTTCTTTTCAGGAATAAAATATTTTCAAAGTAACAAATTAAGTTTCATGTCAAGAATAAATATTTTGCGAAAGAAAACAAAATCTTTTATTTAATTCATTTCTTTTCATTTAACAAATAAATGAAAGAACAAGAAAAGAAACATGTGATGTAATCTTATATTTTAGCTTTTTTCTTTTCGTTGAAGGGAAAGGTTAAAAGGAAATTGCTTATTTTTGTTCATTCATTTCAAAGTATAGAAAAAGAAACGAACAAAGAAAAAACAATTCACAAGTCTTATTCGATAGAAAATTGTTGAACACGACTATTACCCGTATCGACGACATAGAGATTATCATGTCGATCGAAAGACAAACCATAGGGGGCGTTCAACTGATTTGCTCCTGCTCCTTGACCATTTCCACCCACAATTACAGTGCCTTGCTTGTTGTCCCCTTGAGTCCAACGCATTACACGATGATTAAACTCATCTGCTACATAGAGTGTACCCAACGTATCAACAAAGAGTCCGAGAGGACCATTCAATTGTGTCAAAGAACTCCCTGCGCTTTGACCTCCAGCGACGATAATGCCTTCTTTTGAACCTTTATCCCATCTCATTACACGATGATTTAGCCACTCTGAAACGTAGACTGAATGATCTCGATCGACAAAGAGATATGTCGGATAGTGCAGTTGATTGAGACCATTACCTTCACCATTACCACCAGCCACGAGAGTGCCAATGTTCTCACCCAACTTATATCGTCTTACTTCCTGTTTTACGGGGCCAGAGACGTAGAGATATCTCTGCTCATCCATTGCTAATCCATAGCAATCGGTGTTGTCAATGAGTATTTCCCCTTGTGTTGTATCACTAGAACGAGACCATCGTACAACTCGCAGATTCTCTGCGTCACAAATAATGAGACTATCCGTCTCTTTGTCAATTAATACATCTGTTGGGCCACTCAATTGATTTAATCGATTTCCTTGGCCATTGCCACCAGCAACAACTTGTCCATTCGTTGTATCACCGTTCTTCCATTGCATGACACGATGATTCATGTACTCAGCAATAAACACTGCTTGATCATCAGCAACAAAGAGACCACAAGGGAAGTTGAATTGATTAGCGGCACCCCCAGCACCATTACCTCCAGCAACAGTCACTCCATTCTTATGTTTTCTCTTCTAG